CCTAACGTCCACCCCCAGAGGTCTCGACCCATTCCCTGGACCAGCTCTTCATCTGGGGCCGTTTTTGAACGGCCCTTTCGGGCCGCTGGGGGCCCCCCGGAGGCCGAAGATAGCAAACAATTGCCTGTCTTTTGAGATCCGACGTTGCAGAAGAATTGCGACATAGCGAAAAATCACGAACAGAGCCCCAGACCGCATCTTTCTGCATAAATTTTTCGAGCTGGATCGATCTGTGAGGGTTCTGGGGCCCGAAACTGAGCGAAGATGCGCGCATTGAAAAAATCGCAACGCCAGGATCTCAGGGTCGTGATTTCTGTCAGGACTCGAAGGGGTCTGGGGGCCCTGACCCTCCAGAGGGTGCTGAAGCACAGCCCTCCAGATCTAGAGACCTACCCTGACTGCCTCGAGCCTCGACAGGAATTTGGATGTCGAGGCCCCGGTGCTATTTTTGTAAGCCCTCCTGGAAGGTCAGGGGAGCTGGCCCCCCCCTGTTGCCCAGATCGTCGCCGACGAGGGCCCGGCAGCCCGCCCCGCCCAGAAACTTGCGCCGACTCGCGGTCGGGGGCCCGTCGCCGCTCTATCGGCGATGCATCGCCGATGCATCGCCTGCTCCTCGTCATCCTCCTCCTCCTCCTCCTCCTCCTCCTCCTCCTCCTCCTCCTCCTCCTCCTCCTCCTCCCCCTCCTCCTCCTCCCCTCCTCCCCCTCCTCCCTCCTCCTCCTCCTCCTCCTCCTCCTCCTCCTCCTCCTCCTCTCCTCCTCCTCTCCTCACTCAACATCCTCATCCTCTCCTCCTCCTCCTCCTCTTCCTCCCCCTCCTCCTCCTCTCCCCCTCCTCGTCCTCCCCCTGACGCTGCCCCTTGGACGCGCCGCCCTCGGGCGCCGGCCATGGCGCCGGCGCTGCGGCGGCTGCTGCTGCTGCTGCGGGCGCTCCCGCGCGGGCGGTGCGGGAGCGGCGCGGAGGGCCCCGGGCCTCGGGATGCCGGCGGACCTCGCGCTGGTCGGGGAGCTGGTCGCGGACCTCGGAGGTCTTGGCGTGTTGTAGTATGTATAATATATATATATTATATCACATACGTATATATATATATATATATATATATATATATCTGTCGGGATACGGGGCCGGGGGCCTCTGGCCGGGTGCCTCGACTCGCCACGGTGGGACCCCCCCCCCCTCCGGGCTTCTTCAGGTCCGCTCCACGGCGTCTCCCGAGCGGCTCTGGACGGACCCTGGTGCTGTTTCAGCACCAGGAATGGTTCCCATCTTCGACCCATGTCGGAGGGTCTCGGTGTATTGATATTTATTTATTTATATATATATATACACACGGTCGAGCATCTATCAAGAAACCTCCTCCCCCAAAAGTTGTATACAGAGATGTGTGCATATCCCTGAGATCCTGGCGTCGCATATTTTTCGCACCGGGCGTTTTCGCCCAGTTTCCGGCCCCGGGGCTCTCACATGTCGGTCCGGCTCGAAGCATGGCGCAGAAAGATTGGGTCCGGGATCCCGGTCGTGATTTTTGGGATGTCGCCATTACTCTTGCCGCGTCGGATCTCAGTGATACACACACCACGTGGGTCGCCAGAGGGTCGCGGGATGGGTCGCGGGTAGGTCGCGGGCGGGTCGCGGAGGGGTCGCAGACTTCGGAGGGTCTCTGCGCGTGAGGCGTTCCAGAGCCGGCCTCGTGTTCGAGGGCCGAATGAGTTAGCACCTGTGCCTCGGCGGAAGCTGGCGGGAGGCCGGCGGACTTACAGGATGCGCTCCCGAGAGATGGCAGCATCTTGGGGCTCAGGGTTTGTGACATCGATCGCCCGTGCATCCACCACGCCGTTGGGGCGGCCAGGGGGCCAAGGAGTTCGGCGAGGGACGCCTGTGTGATGGGCGATCCAGCTTCCCACAGGTTGGGCAGCTGGGGCGCTCATGCACCGAGATCCTTGGCCGACCAAGCGACGTGGTGCATGCATCGAGCCCCTCCCAGGACCTGGTCGACCTCAAGGGGCCGATGGCACAGCTGGAGAGCTCGGGGGTTGCCAAGGGTGTCCCTGGCCCAAGGCGCCCCCAGCTTCTCGCTCCGCTCTGGAGCCCCAGCCGGGCCCCTCCGGGGCGCGTGAGGGGGTGCTCTGGAGGCGGCGTGGCCTCCCCGGACACCCTGGGGGCACCCCAGACGTGCGATGCCGCTCGCATCTTCCATGCGCGGGCGGGGCCTCCGCCAGAGGCCTGCAGCTCCTGCCCCGAGGGTTTTCTTCTGTGGCCGGCCCCGGGGCCCGGCGAGGCCCCCCGCGGGCCTCCCGGAGGCCTCTCCGCCGTGACACGCTCTCCTCCTCCTCCTACCTCCTCCCTCCTCCCTCCTCCCTCCTCCTCCTCCTCCTCCTCCTCCTCCTCCTCCTCCTCCTTCTCCTCCTCCTCCTCCTCCTCCTCCTCCTCCTCCTCCTCCCCCTCCTCCTTCTCCTCCCCCTCCCCCTCCTCCTCCTCCTCCTCCTCCTCCTCCTCCTCCTCCTCCGTTGGCTGTGACCGTGTCGGCGGTGGCCGTGCGCTGTGCACGGGGCACCTCTGGCAGCGCCCGGCGAGCGGCCGCAGCCAGGGCTACGGGGGCGCGCGCGGCGAGGCGGCGCACCTCGTGGACCCCGCCGCGCTGGCGTCGCTGCACGCGGCGAGGGCCGAGCTGCGGCGCTACGCGGCGCGCGTGCGCGCGCGGGCGGGCGCGCAGACGGCGGCGCAGCTGGCCGCGCTGCCCGCCGAGCTGCGGGCGGACGAGGAGTCCGAGGGCTCGGCATCGCTCGGACGTGTGCATTTTTTCTTCGGCGAGGACCATCGAGGACGAACGAACAACACACACCCATACCCATAGGGGGGTCGTTGGGAGGAGGACTGGCTATGGGTATGGGTGCGGGTTGTCGGACCCTGGGGAACGCTCCCGTTCGAGCGGGGAACCCCCATCCGACAACACGCACCCATAGCCCTCTCCGATCCCCCTATGGGTACGGGTGTGTGTTGCTGGTTCGTCAATCGAGGAGCATCCTCGAT